ATGTGTGTAATTTACGTTGTACAACAAAACGTAAAAGTATCGTCAAGTTATGTTTACCACAGGCTTTATTTTAATTGAAAAACCCCATAGGAAAATCTAGAAGGAACCCACGGCGAATTACTCTTCTGGGTTCTGACGTTGTAGTTTCCCCACTCTGTTGGCAGTAAATATAAATGTCTACTTTTAGTCTCTGAAGTTAAAGTTAAAGTTTTACCCTCTGTGCTTATTCCAGGAGGAATTGGGCGAGCCAGACATCACTGACACAAACACCTCTCTTGCTGATTTTGTTATCATGGACAACTAAACCACTACAAGTCCTGCAAGCACTGCAGTTGTGATGAGATGATCTTCCAGTGTTTGACATTCAGAAATACACAGTTCATGCGGTTTAAAAAAGGCTGAATAAAAAATCCTCAATTGTATAGCCACAGTTGTGCGTGTGTTTTTTATGCATAAGTGTATTTTTTGAGTTAGTATTTGTATTTAATAAAGCACTACTGCATTAAAATAATTGGTAAATGAAAAACATTACGTATGATAGACAATAATTTTAAGTACACTCCCACTTAAACATTAAGCAAAAACAAATTTAAGCTTTTTAGTTTGATTTAATTATTTATAATTAATGTTAACTTAAAAAATTTGAGTTGCTTAATTACATTTTTTGAGGTAATCGGTGTCCACAAAAATGGAGTATTCTGAACTTATGGGGTTTTACAGTGTACAAAAGTCATAAAATCTCTCTTCAAAGACCAGCATACAAAGCGGATACATCACATATTGTAACTTTCTACATATATTTTCAGTAGATAACCAATAGTATATTGATAGTATATGATATTTATCACGCTGATAAAGGTCGGTTCAGAAAAGTCTGATATAGAACAATAAGTGAAGAACTAGATCTTATAGCAACAGAATGTCAGATTTTGATCGCAGGTTCACCCTTGGAATACTGTAAGATATGGACATTTTTTATTTAGCCTTTTAAGCAGGAATATGTTTTGAAATAAAATAAACTACAGTAAGTACAAAATTATTTTAAAATGATAAACTAAGTTTTGAACATATAATGTTGAATAAAAAAACAAAACAATTTAGGCTAAATTTGCAAGCAAATAATTTTATTTCAAACTTTTAAGATTTCATCTAAACAATCTTTTAATTTTGAAAGATCTTATTTAAACTCTTAAGATTTTAAGATTCACTCTGGAAAAGGGTTAACAGACTACATCTCAGATCATCTGGTCTAACTCCTCCCTTTCACATCGGGATTACCCCGGGGAGGACATGCCAGGTTTTCATTATGATTCAAATTAAACTTTTTTATTTATTTATTTATTTTGTAAATCACTCATCCATGTTTCGACATCGTTGCGTAATGTTCTATCTCTTGGCACTCTAAAAAAAAAGTAAGGCATCATTTTCATATTTATTGTGACCTAAAACTATATTAAATGTTTATTTTATACATTGTGTTATATATAATTACAGTTATATTTGCTACTATCTTCGTTAAAAGAAGATAATTGTGTATTTTATAAGATCAATAAGCTTAAATAAATGTTGAATACATGTTTAAATGTATGATAAATGATTTGCTTCACATGTTACTATGATGTCATATATTTTATTACCATATTATTTAAAATAGAGATACATCTCTCTTTAGCTCGAAATGTTTATGTATGTGTGTTCATGTTCATATGACTTATCAGGACGCAAATTTGTATAATGACGTGGGTATTACACTGATATAACAACGTAAATGTGTTTATGAGGAGTTCTCATAATTAAAATACTTACAAACAATATTTAATTAAAAATGTAAGCGTATGCAGAGATTTGTGTGAGGGTGAGGGTTAGAACGAGAGACCGAGGAGCTTTTCCTACTTAAACCTTAAACCTGGTTGGTCATCATCGCTCCCAGAATAATGTAAAGCATTTTTATTGTCAACTGAAACTATAGTAAATGTTTATTTTTATAAAGTACGTTATATATAATCACATTTTATTTACTTAAATGAAGAGAATGATGTGTTTTATAAGTTCAATAAACTTAAATAAATGTTGAATACTTTTTTAAATTGCATGATGAATGATTTGCTTTAGTAGGATGGTAGTAAAACATGCTGTCATATAGAATTATTTATTTCCATACTCTTTAAAATAGAGATAAGTCTCTCTTTAGCTTGAAATGTTTATGTGTGTGCTTGTTTATATGATTTATCAGAACACAAATTTGTATACTGACATGGTTATTACACTGATATAACAATGCAAATGTGTTTATGAGGATATTTCTTGAGTCCTCATAATTCAGATCGCTTAAAAACAATATTTTATTAAAAATGTATGTATGCAGAATTTATGTGTGATGGGTAGGTGTACAGTTTTTACAGTAAAAATCATTATGTCTATGGAGTGTAGTAATACTCCAAATGATTGTCCCCATAAGCATAACAGCTTTTTAAAATGATAAATTATACTAAATGATGTTTCTGAAAATATAAAAAATGTAGAAAGTTTACTGTGATGGTAGGTTTAGGGGATGATAGTGTATAAAATTAATGAATATAATGTAAATCTAAATATTAAAGTTTCTAAATATGATGTTTATCTGTTCAACTGCTTTGTAACAACTTGTTTTGTGAAAAGATATAAAAAATAAACGTGAATTAAACTGAATTGAATTGTCAATGTAAAGTCTGCATAAAACATGACATGACACGGACATGTCGGAGCCCCCAATAGCCCATATCGTTTGGCCTGTTAAATTATATTTTTTTTCCCGATCCTGGTAAAATGTACGACATTTTTATATTTTTAGCGATGACTAAAACTAGTGTAAATGTTTTGCTTTGTTTTATATCATGTGCGATCACATAATTAATTAATTAATGTTCATTTAAAAGAAGAGAATAAGACTTGGGACGATTGAATGTGCACGCGCGTGTGTGTGTGTGTGAGAGAGAGAGAGAGAGAGAGACGGATTATTGTTTTATCCCCAATTTCATTATTAGTCATGTTACATATTTTATTTAAATTATTTTATACAACCATCAGATTATATGTACGAGCACACACCCATATTGTGATCTGTTCTCACGATCTGTTAAAATTGTCTACTTATTATTGGCCTTAAAACCAATATCTTTCTCACATACAGAGAGAGAGAGAGAGAGAGGGGTTTTTAGAGGGTTTTGGGAAACCTCTCATTTGCAGAATGGCGATGTTTGCACGAGGAAGACTTTGTCTCACGGAAAAATGTAAGAGGAATTTTATTTCTTTATTTATTGATTTATCCCCAATTTCATTATACATTATACAGTGTGTGCGTGTGCGTGTGCGTGCGTGTGTGTGTGTGAGAGAGAGGGTGAGAGAGAGAGAATCTGTTAAAATTGTTTATTTATTCTGTTTATTGTTCATCCCATTACTTCTCAGGAGTTTTAGGTGAGTATAAACCGGCCATGTCTATGTGAGAGACAGAGAGAGAGAGAGAGAGAGACAGAGAGAGAGAGAGAGAGAGACAGAGAGGGGGTTTTAGAGGTTTTGGGAAACCTCTCATTTGAAGAATCGTCATACCTGTGCTTGGAGGAAGACTTTGTCTCACGGAAAAATGTAAGAGGAATTTTATTTCTTTATTTATTGATTTATCCCCAATTTCATTATACATTATACAGTGTGTGCGTGTGCGTGTGCGTGCGTGTGTGTGTGTGAGAGAGAGGGTGAGAGAGAGAGAATCTGTTAAAATTGTTTATTTATTCTGTTTATTGTTCATCCCATTACTTCTCAGGAGTTTTAGGTGAGTATAAACCGGCCATGTCTATGTGTTTCACAGCACTTATCTCATTTTCCAAAGAAGTGTCTGGGTCTATTTATCTAAGCGCACCTTGGAATGCAACCGGACACACGGACCCCAGATGGGGAAACCCCCCGGATGTGGGAACGACCATAAAAACACAAAAACATTCCTCAGGACTTCATTTATCTCCTGACATCCTCGGTCACATACATACATCTGAACAAACATATGTCTTCCCCCAGAGGTCATAGGTGATGGGGTCAACCAACGTGGGTGGTCACTACGTGGGTGGGCCACGTGGGGGAGGGGAAATGTCACAAAGGTCAAAGCCATCAATCAAGGGTCATAAATCATTTTGTCATAAGGTGAATCTTATAGACTACTGACGGTTATGAGAAGCAGGGGGATACCTCCAGTTCTTATAATATAATGATGTGTGTGTGTGTGTGCACACATGCACACACAGAGACTTGTAATGGTACACCACTGCCATTTGGTGTCCATATGTACATAGTGTGACTTTGAAAAGAGAAGGAGAGAAACAACCTCAAACACAATCTCAATATTTTTGCCACAAAAAGAAAAGAACAGATAATTTACCTGAAAGCAGCCCTCCTCCCCCTCCATCTCCTCCTCTTCTTTCTCCTTACAGATTGTAAGGAAAGTCTGTTTCCATGACAACAAGGAGAATTAAGGGCAGATAAGTGCAATCCTAAAATGTCAAGTTGGAGTACTACTTGAGTGCTTTAACTTTCAGGATGATATCACTGGACTTACCTAAACCATGGGATAAAACATTTTTCAGTCATTTGAATTTTGCATAGAATTTTAAAAATAACGCATTAAGATTGCCCACTCTGTGCTGCCTCCAAAATCTGTGTAGTGATGCAATGCCACATTAAAAGCTGTACTAAATTATTTATATCTCTGACTCACCTCAGAGGCATTTGAGATCATCATTTGATCATTTTATCATGTATAATTTTTCATTTTTTTCATATTTTTCATTCACTGTTTCATGCAGGCCCGGATTGGCTAATCGGGAGCACCGGGAGAATTCCCGGTGGGCCGGTCTGTTTTTTGGCCGCAAGGGCCGGTCTTGTCATGCCACTGTTGAAATATGGATGCCCGTATTTAAGGCATCAAAGCGTCCCGTATGAAAGCTACCGCAATTTGTCCCGTATTGGCAGGCACGCCATATGACCACCGGACCATATGAATAACAAATTCTCAATTGATAATTAATCATTCTTTGTGTGCAAATTGTTTTATTTGTTAACGTAGCCGCTCAAGAAAGGCTTTAAGACCAAACGGAATCCTCTGCCGGCTGCTCCCGCTTCACAGCAAACGAGACTCGCTCTAACGCCAATTCCCTTCACCGTCTGCATTTTGATTTTGGCAAATCAGTTTGGGCGAATGCAACTTATTGATCATGAGCCCAACATCTAGCAAGGCAGGAAAACATTCAATCCACCTGAGGAAAGATGTCTTTCACTATTGTAAGTTAATGCTGTTAAATAGAGAGAGAGAAATACATCAAAAAAAAATGTAGCTTCTAGTGCATTCTTAAACTTGGACCTCAGTATATTTTTGAAGTACAAATCCAAGCACCAGAAGTAGGCCGCACTCTCTAAGTTTTCTTTAATTGAAAGAGGAATAAAACTCTAAGTTTTGGTGTTTGTAAGTGCTGCTGAAGTGGAGAAAAAACTTTTAAAGATATGGGTTGTAGCTGGAATCTACAGACGCAAATAAATAAAGTGCAATAAAATAAACACTTAAATGTGTATTTGTGATTTCCACTAGTCAGAAAAAGGATGTTTTGAGAAGCCAAAAGCCCAAAATCTCAAAATTGACAGGTGCATGAAAAAACAGTGCTTTTGCCTGCAGTGTCTCCCCTTAAGAATCACAATTGTCCGTTATTTTCCATTTGTGGCACCTTGCTAAGAAAAAAATAAAAATAAAAAAACCCTCAGTTGTTGGAGATATGCGAACAAAAAATAATAGATAAAAAATGGATAAAGCGCAAAGACAGCGCTGAAAAGGCCAGTATGTATGTATATGCACTATTGCAGACTTATATACTGAGGTTTTAATTATTTTAAGAGCTCAGTCGTAAACTAAAGTGGGCCGGTCTAAGGCATGCAACTCCAGGGCTGAAAATGAGTCCCACTCCGGCCCTGGTTTCATGTCTGTATTCGGCATCTCCAACAAATTGGTTTCCCATCAGTGGTTATCAGCTCGTAGATATGGGCCAGAAGGGGCCTGCTGCACCTACTGGTAGGCTGAGAAGGCTGTTGTCATCCATCCACATGGTTAATCACCGCACGCATGTATGAAAGTGAAGTTGCCACTGGAGTACCAGCAGGGGCGATCGTTTACCCAATGCCAACAACTGCACACGGACCAAAGAAGACCAGCGATACAGCGCATTAAAAGACGGATTTTAGATGACTTCAAGACACATATACAGGTACCCTCTCGTAACATAGTCCATCGTTCCGTGTTTATGAATGAAGTTAATAATTTAAAATTAGCCTATGGTGGGAAATGGATCATGTAAAAAAGTCCACACATTTACCATATTTTTACCATAGTAACGCAGGGTTGCCAACTTTTAAGTTCAGCTTGGAGTGAGATTTTTTGGGGGGGGTGGGGGTAGTTCAATATCAATTCATATGTATTTACTGTACTTAAAAGGGGATAAAAATCTTTTGTTGAATGCAGTTGAATGCCATTTTAAACTTGGGCTTAAATTCAGTATTTGCTTGCATTCATTAAGTATATATAAGTATCATTAAAAAAAGGATGCAAGTATTAACTTTTTAAATTTCACATTTAAAAATCTAGTGTTTAATCATGTCTGAATATTTCTTCAAATGAAAAACGACAATATTAAAGATATAGTTAGTAAAGAGCCATACAGGTACCTAGTAGGTAAACATGGCATAACAAATGAAAATGTTTTTTTTTTCTGACCACAAAATGACTCTAATTTGCCTCTTTGCATTGGAATTTAAAACCCTTTCTCTATTTTAACCTTAAATTCTACACTAATTGTAATATAATAAATAGAAATACTACAAAAAAAATATTTTAAGTCATTAATGGACCATAATTATTGCACAAATAGTATTTAGTACAAAAGATCTCCTTAAAATATTAAATAAATATTATTGAACTAAGAACATTTATTTAACTGAAAAAGAGTTAAGCGGTATGGTCACATTATAAGTAATCAATACCTGAGGGTTAAATACAAGAAAACCATATTAATGTTGCCTCTCCATCACTCTCCAGAATAAAATGATACTGTAAATGTCATCGACATAATAATTATGCCATTATGTATAATAATGTTTACCAAACATTGCTGCAAATTCCTGTATAGTGAAGCTGTCGTCTATTCAAATGGTTTGTCAACACTGGTTTGTTTGGAGAGCTCCATGAACCACGTGACCGCGAGGCGACGCCGGCGAGATCAAAGCTTGTCGCAACTCTGTTTTTCAATGGCTCTGGCTTTAACTGAAGCGCTACATTTTACGATTTACGCCACATTAAGTGCGCCAAAACGGTATTTATTGTTTGAATTTAGTATTAAAACGTATAAAATTTTAAAGCTGAGACTTTTTCATATCGCAAGCAGGGATATCAAGAGCCTGGGAGCGTGTGTCAGAGTTAGCAACTCTGAAATATATGTTTTTATTGATAATTGGAGCAACACATTTTGTGGGAAAATAAATAAAAAATAAATCATAAATGGTGTTTTTTAAAAACAAAAATCATATAAATGCATAAGGTATTATACCTACATAATACTTTCATTTAGCCCCAACAGCAGGAGCGCAGTTTCCCCAATATAATACTTTTACATATTCTTCAGTTATTGAAAAACTGTTGATTTAATTACCTTGAACAAAACTGCAAACCATTAAAGTCTATGTAAAGTCTATTCTGAGAATTGTTTCTAAACACATTATAAATGTTAGAAATGCATTGCTGAAACAGGATTTTTTTGGGCGGGGCTAAAATCATGACTCGGATGATGCAATGGAGCCACTGAGCATGGCCCCTCCCCACGTCTATAAGGGGTGTGTTCGACTTGAAGCAGCGCTGTGCAGACCGATCATTGTAGGACATCAAAGTACAGTGAGAGTTGTAGAGAGTAGACGACAATACCGTACGGTCCATACCCATGGCTGTGTTCCCAAACGTAGCACGTCCTGATGGATAAACGTCCTGAGCGGATCAGGGTTTTTCTGTCGTGATTTTCAGCTCCGTGCTCCTCTATCGTCTGTGCTGGTTGTGCTTTGTGAGAAATGAGAATGCACGACTGCACACAGCTGCTCCAGTGAAAGTCAGCTGACCACACGTCTGGAGAGTGTGGAAGAGAGTGGAGTTGTAGACTGGAGGTGGTCAGTGAGGAAACCGCAGAATTTGACCGATACATTAAAACATTTGAGTGAATGAACAGCAAGCAGGGACAATCGCTAAGCCTTGTGTTCGATTTGTATTAGTGTAACACACCTGTTTATAGCTACTGAAAAAATAATTAGAAATAACTAAAGCCATGTGACCATTGCATGAGTTTAAGTTTTATTAGCTTCACAACCTCTCCCCAGTTAGGTCAAGGATGTAAGTGGGGACACATTACTCCAATCGCTATAGAAATTAATTTGTAATACGTCTAGCTAAAACTTAAGATACAAAATAGGCTACATGCCTGAATTATTTAAATAATAGGACATTGACAAATAATAGGACAAGGCTTCTTTAGCACCATTTTAAACTTGGGGTTAAATTCAGTATTTGCTTGCATTCATTATGTATAGGGGAGCGCGGGGCACAAAGTAACGCGGGGTTAGTTGTAACACACGTGGTTTGAATATTTCCACACATGCTAGCGTCACAAAAGTTGCCATAAAAAAGCTGCCATATCAACACTATATAGAGAGAAAACTGCGCCAAAATTAAAAAAATATTTTGAACATTTATTTTACCATAGTAAAAGTACATTTCTGGCTTAAGTAAAATTTTCATCAGTTTTTAGTATTCATTTAAAATGAGGCAAATCTGCTATTATTTTAATCTCAAATCTGTTATTTATCAGTTTAGATAGTTTTTTAATGCTTCGCTAATAATAGCAGAAGACACTAACCAAGTTTTAATTCCAGTTGCGCAGATGGGGCACGTTGTAACACTGCGTTACAATGCGCTATTATGACATTAGCAATGTAATTTACACAATTTACGTTCATGTATTTTAATGAGAAACCACGAGGAATAGGCGAATAAAGACTGACAGTCAATGTTTAATGCTCAGAAGTGTATTATTTAAAGAAATGTAAAGCATTTTTGCTCGTTTATGTGGGCCATCCCAAGCATGGTTGCAATTTGTTCATTGTCAAACTCCAAAATCAGATCATTTTTCATTCTTAAAAAAACGCCATTATTTTATTTAAATTTTTTTGTAATTTTATTTTATTGACAAAATATTTTAGTTTGTCTTGTAACTTTTTTTCATTAGATCAGATAATATTTTAAGCTGTCATATTACAACGTGCCCCTCAGATGTTACAATGTACCCCACTTACGGGGCATGTTGTCACATTTCACTTGCATTTTTTGAGGGTAAATAAAGAAAAATGCATACACTGTAATTATGAAACAAAGCAACGTATTCATTCATTCAAGTGTAAAATTACCGTGGATAAAAAAAATTATACTATAAACCCCATGTGGATTTACATAAACTGAGAAAATCAAAAAGTGTTACATTGTGCCCCGCTCTCCCCTACTTATATAAGTAATATATAAGGTATATAGGTATGACCTGCAATATTCTAGATACAATTTAGTAAAGAGCCATACAGGTACCTATAGTGGGTTAACCATGGCATTACAAATGAAAATGTTTTTTTTTTCTGACCACAAAATGACTCTAATTTGCCTCTTTGCATTGGAATTTAAAACCCTTTCTCTATTTTAACCTTAAATTCTACACTAATTTAAATAGAATAAATAGAAATACTACAAAAAAAATATTTTAAGTCATTAATGGACCATAATTATTGCACATAGTACAAAAGATGTTTTTTTTTTCTGACCACAAAATGACTCTAATTTGCCTCTTTGCATTGGAATTTAAAACCCTTTCTCTATTTTAACCTTAAATTCTACACTAATTGTAATATAATAAATAGAAATACTACAAAAAAAATATTTTAAGTCATTAATGGACCATAATTATTGCACAAATAGTATTTAGTACAAAAGATCTCCTTAAAATATTAAATAAATATTATTGAACTAAGAACTAACTGAAAACTGAAAAAGAGTTAAGCGGTATGGTCACATTATAAGTAATCAATACCTGAGGGTTAAATAACCATATTAATGAACCACGTGACCGCGAGGCGACGCCGGCGAGATCAAAGCTTGTCGCAACTCTGTTTTTCAATGGCTCTGGCTTTAACTGAAGCGCTACATTTTACGATTTACGCCACATTAAGTGCGCCAAAACGGTATTTATTGTTTACATTTCGTATTAAAACGTACAAAATTTGAAAGCTGAGACTGTTTCATATGGCAAGCAGTATTGCCAATTTGCCAAATGTGTGAGAGTTGGCAACCCCGCGTTGAACGTAACTGTCGCTCGACCATGTCATGTGCAGTCAATGCACAGTAACCACAAAATATACCATGCTTCTCCCACCCTAACTGTAGTTTTACTGTGGTATTTGTAGATAAAGCACAATAACCTCAACCCTTAAGGGGCGGTCACACTAGACTTTGAACGTGCGAAATTTTTTCAGATGCAACTGCGAATATGGGCGGGAGCAGGATATGACATCACGCGCCAAGGTTTCCCCTCAGTTATCACAACATGAGCTGTGTCTCATTTAGAAGGCTGCGCCCTCCGGAGGTCGAATCCTCTGGAGGTCGCATCCTCTGTAGGATGCATACGAAGTGTCCTCAACCTAGAATTAAATGAGACGGCCTTCATAGGACAGGCAGAAAAGGAAACAGGAAGTATCACGTTGCTATGCCAACACATTTAGAGCATCGTTGCGCTCTCACACTACTTAAATGAAGGAAAATTATTTCAAAAATTTGGAAAGTAATTAAAAAAAAAAATGCTTTTACCTGTTTTATTTTGTTCAATGTTTGAGGAGCTGCAGCGTATGTACAGCAGACATCTGTTAGAGAAAAAAAGGAGGAGGATATTAAAAACAAAGTTTATCCGTTTTTACCGAGGCGATTTAAGGTAAGTTGTAAACACCACATCTGCGCTTGTGTGTACATCTAACGGCGTCGGCATTTTTCAAATTAACAACGGTTGTTTACGGCGACGGAAAGAATTGTGGGTTATCTGTAGCAGCGAAGGATACACCTCATGCATCCTCTGAATTCCTGTGAAAGAATGTCGCATTCGGAGTGTCCTACTTGCTTTTCTGAAATGAGACAGCCTCGATGACGTATGTAGCCTTCGAATGCGACCTCCAGAGGGCGCATCCTTCTAAATGAGACACAGCTATGGATTCCGATGTGCTTGTACTGTGTCTTTTGCGATGGCGTCGAAAGCGTCTGGAAAGGAGAAGGCTGTGGGTTCACCTTATTCTACGGACTCGGAATGAGCAGGGAGAGTTCCATTCTTTAATTCAGGAGCTTCGGCTGGATGAGGATCGCCACAAGGAGTACTTTCGGCTCTATCGTATTTTATTACTATTTTTTCAAACTATAGTGAATAAACTGTATTAATTAATGAAATGTTCAAGGTGTCTGAATAAATTTTGGTTTGACTGTACATATATACAGGTGCATCTCAATAAATTAGAATGTCGTGGAAAAGTTAATTTATTTCAGTAATTCAACTCAAATTCTGTATTAAACTCGTGTATTAAATAAATGGAATGGTATGGAAGCCCAGGTTTCTTTGACAGTGGCCTTCAGCTCATCTGCATTTTTTGGTCTCTTGTTTCTCATTTTCCTCTTGACAATACCCCATAGATTGTCTATGGGGTTCAGGTCTGGTGAGTTTGCTGGCCAGTCAAGCACACCAACACCATGGTCATTTAACCAACTTTTGATTCGACGAAGGAGCGTCTGGAGGGCTTGCGGCAACCACATGTGATGACCCCGGGCTGGACTCCGCTTCATCCACGGTGAAAGCCGATCCGGCGATCCACAGCGTATTTCCTCAGCAACCAGCATGGATCAGCTCCAGGCATGACGAAGCAGATATCGTCCTCTTTTGGAAGGCCAAACAAAGTAGTTTCGCTTTCACAACGAAACACACAGCGCCTTTACGACATGGCGGCGGTTACACCTTCTTTCTTTGTTACTTTTGTTTGTTTCTTTGGAAAGTTACACCTCCTTTCTTTGCATGAACATTTGGGCGGCATTATGCAAATCTTCCCACATAGTGACGTAGATATGTGGGGGCGTGTTAGAGCGAGCCATTTTAGGTAGGCGTGCCTGACTTAATTTTATAAAGAATATCTCTTTGGATTTGAGACTTTAGTCTTTGCAACTTTAAACATCTTCTTTATGCACCAAGAGCTTGGAACACTCCAACGAGAAAGGAAAAATTTAAATCGCATCATATGACCCCTTTAATAATAATACACTTGTGTATAGTAATTATATTGTACTCTCTCTATATATATCGTCTGTTTCTGTTTCTATTGACACCGCGAACCATGCAGCTTCTTTTTTTATTTTATTTTTATAATCTTTTAAAGATGTATTATATAAAATAGGACGCTGCGCTACGGCTAAAATTAAGGCTTCCTCCATTTTTGAATTTCTGTACAGAGAGGTCACGCAGTGATGTATTGATCTTCTACTGGTCACGTCTTCACATGATGCGAATTCGCAATTCAGAGTTCACCAAACTTGAACTTTGGAACGCAGCGAAATGCGAAATTTTTCGCATGAGCTTGCGTTTCCGTTCTTACGCATGCGAATGCGTATAAATGGAAGTCAATGGAATGAAAAGTGCAGTGTGACCGCCCCTTTACTATGGGTTTACCACAGTAACCATAGTTTTACTTTGGTATTTGTAGATAAAGCACAATAACTTCAATACTTACTATGGGTTTACCTCGTAACCGTAGTTTTACTGTGGTAGTTTTACTGTGGTATTTGTAGTTAAAGCACAATAACCTCAACCCTTACTATGGGTTTACCTCAGTAACCGTAGTTTTACTGTGGTATTTGTAGATAAAGTAACAACACTTACAACAGCACATACCATGTTTTTACCACAGTAACTGTTTTTGCTGCATACTATTTTTACAACACAGTAACCACAGCGTTTGCCATGCCTTTAATACCTTTTTGTGAAGTAACTGTAATTCAATATATTTTTTCTGTCTTGCAGTTAGGTCAGATCACATACTCCAGCAGCTCTTTAAAGGGGTCATATGATGCTGCTAAAAAGAACATTATTTTGTGTATTTGGTGTAATGAAATGTGTTTATGCGGTTTAAAGGCAGAGTAAGTGATTTCTGGTAGCCAATGTTGATATTTGAAATCACCAAAACAAACACGCCCCTACCCCAAAAGGGTCTTGGCCCCTATTTTGATAGCTCCGCCCCACATATACAGTGTTGGCCCCCTTCCTGATTTCTTATTTTTTTGCATGTTTGTCACACTTTAATGTTTCAGATCATCA